GCTAGGGGGAACCCAAAATTAGGGGTACCATTTAAAGGGGGGATATGGGGACTATATAGAGATATATAAGGTTTAGGGTTTCCCAAATTAGGGATTACCAAGTAGGAAGCCTTATGGGCCAACCACAGCGGCACTCTTTCCCCGCAAACCTTACACACTCGCTCCATATCCCCACAAGCTCTTGGGTACTAGGTCTGTGATAGCTCGGCTGCGCCCCTGTCATAATTTTGGTTGTAGAGGCGACCCACATGGACTTAGAACGTCTTCTTGCGCGCCTTTTGTCCCCCACATCCAGGAAAGCCAAGATCTTGAGTGCTCGCGCTGGATAGCTGTACCTGGTGCGCCATCCTCTATTGGATGGCATGAAACAGAAGCTTATCTTTTGCATCGTTGATCCGGCAGAGCGCACTTCATGCTAAAAATCAATTTGTAGACCTCGTTCGCAATGCGCTCGATGATGTCACGGTCATCCACCTCCAGGCTCACTGGTAGTTTCCCAAAAAAAGGGTACCCCAATATAGACCCCAATATACTATAGTCCTTTATGGGGATCCCGAAAAAGGGTACCGAACAATGTACTATGTGGTAGTTTCCCTAAATAAGGGGACGCTAATATAGACCCCAATATACTACAGTCCTTCTTAATGGGACCCCCAAAAGGTACTGTCCAATTCCATGATAGAAGCCATGGTCTTCAGCCGATGCTCGAGCAAGTACTGCCTAGCGGACACTGCAGACATACAGATCCCATTCCGAAATTATCCAAAACGACCAGTGTTTTGAACAGAAACAATATGCACACATACAGTCAAATACAAATTCTTAAACATGCGCAAGCGCTGTCCACCTGGAGGTAAAGATACATCTCGCCGATGTCAATGAGATTCCACCAGGCATATTCGTGCAAGCGCATGGGTAGCTCCTTAGGATGGATGTTCAACATTGTGAAATGTCATACCTATAGAACCCCTATCTAATTTGTGTAGTTTCCATTTTCTTTTCCATTATCCCAATACATAACCCCAATATATACCCCATATAACCCCTATAATACCCGTTGAACCCCTGTTACAACAACCCCCCTGTCAACCCTGAGCTGAGAATTCGGGTAGCAGGTAGCAGGCTGCCTGGACCAAGACCAGCAACGCGTTGTAGCAAACAAGCATCAAAAAAAAACATAGGTATGACAAACCTCAGCGGGTTTTATACTACCTCTATGGCTCCCACTACAGAACCCAATATATGCTATTCCTTAAAAGAAGGACTCCCACGTAGCAACATTGCTACCGCTGCAATAACCACAACCTGGGCTGCAAGCTGAGGTCAGGGCCCGTCGCAAAGTGGCGAGGAAAATCGGGCAATGGTGCCGGAGATGGCAAAAAGTGCGAGCGATGTCTCCGACCTGGTTCTCTGGGTTGGCCCCTGAAGCCCTTTGAAAAACATTAATATATTAAGTCCCCCATTAAAGCCATTAGGGAACATATTAAATATCCCAGGGGCCTACCCAGACTGATATTGACTGTAACAGTGGCTACGAAATAACCTTACCATGCTTACAGCACTTCTGATGGTCTTTCTGCTCATCTGCAAGGATGGGGTTTAGGGGAGTGGTAGTAAGGGCTCGAAATCCACTTGTCTCTGGCCTGAGTCGAGAAGGATATCTATTAGGTGGACACCCCACCCAGTAATAGTGAACATAATGGAGAATAGGGATTATATTAGGGTCTTCTTATATTCCTATTATACCACTATTACAGGGTGGGGGGTTCTCCTAAGATATCTGGGACAATGGAAATGGATCAACAAATTTATCCGAGAATGGTATTCAGCAACAGCAAAACATACCCTGCAATCTAAGCCCATTTGCATTACTACAGGGGCCTAAATAATTACCAATATCATTTTGAGGTCCATTTGAGGTAACATAGACATAGACCGGAATTATATAAGGAATATGGAACCATAATTTTGGTAATCATTTAGGCCCTAAGCCCTAGACCCTAAACCCCCTATATTAGGCCTGTAGAGCATTCAGTGCAGGAGTGCAGGATAATGCGGTCTGGACTCCTAGTTTAGGGTTTAGGGTTTAGGGTCTTAGGGTTTAGGGTCTAGGGGTTTAGGGTTCAGGGTTTAGGGTCCTGGTTGCCAGGTTGTTGACAAGTAATTACAATCCTCCGCAAGTAGATAGAAGATACGGCATATGGGGATCCTACTATGAGATACCCCACGCCGCATTCCATTTACTTAAGGCGGACTATACGTCTACCCGCCGACGCAAACCAGGAAACGCCATCCGCCGCAAATTCCCCACAGTAAGCGGAAGAAGACGGACCCTGTCAACCTCATGCCGGGCTACAGTGCCAGTAGTAGTAATAGTGATTATGATAAGAGTAATAAAAATTGTAGGAGTAGTAATAGTGATAGCAATAAACAGGGTAATAACCATGATAATAGTAATAGTAGATAGAGTCTCCCTGCGATGGAGCCCCAGCTAGCTATGCGGCTATACAGACCGCCAACACCCGACTCATTGAAGGGAACCAGTCTAGCGCCGTGTACACAAAGCAGCATGCATACTTTCTTGGAAATGTAGGGCCGTTGCCTGGTCCTCTGAGAAGTACGCAAACCGCAAGTCCAGCACTTCGGACGCGAAGGTAAAGAGCCTGGCCCGTTGAAGGGCATACGAAAAAGTCTCGAAGGGTTCAATCTCACATAGGGATTATATTATATAGTAATAACGGAATTGACAACGGGATTGAAAGGGAAGTATGGGGGTTTTCTGCGTCCACATGGCTATGCCGCAAGGTATTCCAGGACTCTGAGATCTTGGCGAAGCTGCCCCTCGCAGGCTCTTGAAAAAATTGCTGTTGCACACACAAGTGCCCTAAACCCTAATACGGTAAATGCCATGTATCCCCATAGAATCCCTACATCAGGTACCCAGGCCCCGTACCACTCACCCAACCTAGACGTCATGAAAGCCTGGAACCAACAGAAGGAGCTTGTCTTTGTCGAAAAAAACTTGCTGATCATGGCAATGTGAACATGGCTGTCTGGTGCTTCTCTGCATCTTGGGTGGACTCTGCAAGAAGATGATAGCAATAGCTTGGCTAGCGTTGATTCCGGCGTTCATCCATGGAACCACAAGTGCACCTGAGAACCTCTGTGGCCCAAACTTGCAGCGACAGTCGTCACACGGAATTAGCACCCGAGCTTTTTGTCGCAGCTCCCTTTGGGTGCCAAGTCACGTTACTAAAAGTTGACAGCAGCAGCGCGCTGCCATCATGGCTGCCCCGTTTTGAAGGCATTGTGAGACTGATGTTCTGCGTCATTGTCCTGCTTACGCGGACCTTCAGCTGAGTCATCCCTGCTGGTGAAGCATTTTCTGAATGTGGAATGAACGCACTGCGCGCATGCTCTTACAAGGACGCAACGCCCAGTCTTCGCCAGCAGTTTGAGCTGCAATCCATCAACTGCAGCTTGGGCTCACATGCTGGATCTCATGCACCAGTGAAGGCCCCTGCTTTTTAGGGCTCATCTAAAATCTGTGTATATTGCCTCCCTCCGTCTCAGCATTTTCGTACCCTAGCTGATGTCTCTTCGTTGCAATCAACAACTGTGCTTTACATGCGACCTTCCAGCATCATGCGTGGTATCACCTGTAATCAATGTTCTTAGTCGGAGCTTTTGCAACGCAGGATTTCGAGGCAAAGGACACCTATGTCTACATCACCGGGGAGGACTGAACCATACCCACCTCGCTTCGCCTTTGTTTCTCTGAGGGTGGGAGATGGTGTAAACTGGGAGCATTTTCAGCATCGCGGCGAAGCAAAGCTGCAATGTGACTCTCGCAGTGTTTCCGCGCAGACTGTTGGCAAACTGGGTTGCTGTTAAGGAACTTAAATTGAGTTACTATATTGGGGAAACCCTATCATTTACTATATATATCCATTATAGTAACTTAATTTAAGTTCCTTAACAGCAACCCAGCAAAGGGTTTGTTGCCAACCAGACTGTAATCTGAGCGATGGCAGGGAGGCATGAGGCTGACTTCGGATTTCTAGCACCAGGTGAGACTACCACGATCCATCAGGGAACCCTTTGAATATCATCAAAACATTTGTCCCCCTCAGTGTTCCAGGCCATAATTCATCATGATGACACCCCAAACCTGCAAGAATCCAAGGCTAGGCACACAGGAGTTTAGAAGGCATTGCTTGGCCTGCCGTCTAAAGCTCTGCGTTACAAGCTGATGGCATGATGGCACTCAACCCGCCGTCCGCCTTTAGCCTCCATAGGAGAAAAATCTCAGTAGCCCAGCAGCTGCCCCTGTGGCCAGTAATTACTATTATTACTATTATTATTATTATTACTCTTATTACTATTATTACTATTACTACTATTATTACTATTATTACTACCTACTATTATCACTTATTTCTATTATTACCACTATTTCTACAAGTGTTTATTATTACTAGAATGGGGCGCTTTCGTTGGGCAAGGCTCTCCCGGGCTTGAAGCTCGGCTCCCAGGGGTTCTTTGGGACTTGCTAGACCCTCTAAATCCTAAGCCCTAAGCCCTAAACAGTAGTTTCCATTTTCTTTTCCATTATCCCAATATGTAACCCAAAATATACTGTAGTAGTTGCCGTTTTCTTTTCCATTATCCCAATATGTAACCCAACATATACTGTAGTAGTTGCCGTTTTCTTTTCCATTTTCTTTTCCAGTATCCCAATATAACCTAAAATATACCATAGTAGTTTCCATTTTACTTTCCGTTATCCCTATATAACCCCTATAAAGCCTTATACCCTATGTAACCCCTAAATAGCCCCATTATAGTATTTTACACTTTTATTTTCCATTATCCCAATAGAACCCCTACATAACCCCAATATAATCCCTATATAACCCTATCATACTATAGTAGTTTCCATTTTTCCATTATTACTATATAACCCCTATATAACCCTAACATAACCCCAGGCGCAGCCATCAACCAGACTTACTAGGCGTGACCTTGCCCTCCAGGAAGCTGGTGAGGAGCCCAGCCAAGGCCTAACAGTGAGTTTGGGGTTTAGGGTTTAGGGGTTTAGGGTTTAAGGGTTTAGGGTTTAGGGGGTATAGGGTTTAGGGGTTTAGGGTTTAGGGGGTATATAGGGGTTATTATATAGGGATTGCACAGGTTTGGAGGCCCTATGAACATGTTGTTTCAAGGGAAGTTCGCAATGCTTTTGAAACCTACCCCCGTTTATGTCTGGGACGAGGCACGCGAATCTACTGAAGAGGAAGTTGCAGCGTTTACGCATACTTGCTGGGTTGGCCCCTAAAACCCTTTGAAAAATATTAGTATATAGGGTCCCTTATTCAAGCCAGTAGGGAGAATACTAAATATCCCAGGGGCCTACCCAGCTTGCATCTAGATGTCTGCTTCGACCAGGGCGTCTAAACTAAGCTTCAGGGGCTTCGCGTGGATTCGGAGGCGCCTGCGCGCAACATGAATCCACATGTTTGATTGTGCCAATGCGCCACGCTATGAGTACATGGCTGCAGCGGTGCTAATGAGCAGCTCCACCACCCTGCCCCACTGAATTAGCAAAACATTGCGCCCTGCCACACACTGAATCGACGCAGGAAGGTCCAAAGCAGGCACAAGCCCCAAAATCGAATCTTCGATCAACACACGGCACATCTCATGAGCCACACTTCCTGCATGCTATACGACTCTGGATTGGAAAAGCTTGAAATTCAAAGGGATGCCTACGATTCAGCCCAATATGGAATACTACTGAATCACACTTCATCCAAACTGACCACGGATTGAAGTTCACCCAGCTATGTGAAGTGCTCAACGCTTGTTCTCCATGAATAATTTTGATAGCAGTGCCTCTGTGTGGCGGCTTTGAACAATCACCCCATATACCAGAGGATTCCCATCATTACTGTTATTTCACATCATTACTATTACTGTGATTTGTGTGACTATTGTTACGATTACAGTGATAATAATTACGACAATTACTATTGATTATTGTGATTACTACTATTATTTTCATCCTACAAGCCCACCTCTCCACGGAAGGCCCGAACGAGCACTTCGTCCCGTTCTGCTTTGGCAAGTACCGAGCCTGCAGATAGCCAATTGGGGATCCTAAGCTCTGGATTCCATTCCACAGGCTGCGGATACAGGAGTTTTCAATTTCCACTCTTTTCAAGGAAGGTTTCAATCAGGAAAGTGTCAATGCGAGGGATGCTTCTATGGCTTCGCAAGTGCTAAAGGCCCCTTTGGCCGTCCTTCCGTCACCTTTGACAGCAGCGTGTCCACTTGGTCCGATGTCGCCGTAATGAGACACAGCGCGAAGAGTACTGCAGATGTGTCCTGAGCGGAGTTGAATTTAGATGAAGCAGGGTTGGCACATCGGTGTCCATGGGGGACTCCCTATGGCTCGGAAAATACTGGCGGCATGCGTATCAACACTTGTTGACCTGTGCGTGTCTGCAATCTGCCCATGAACAGTGGGTTTGCGCTTCTTTGATAAAGTAAGAAGGAGCAGCCTCAAGTTGGCACGCGCTTAGAGTTTAGATCGCTCAAGAGGTTTGGCTTGAAAGTAAGAGCCTTTGCAATGCCTGTGCAGCATTCCCACAAAAAAAAAAAAAAAAAAA